TCAATATCCAAGTTGCATGGTTTGTTTGAAGCAGTAAATAGGCCGCAAGCACTTTTAAGTTGGACGTCAGTCCTCACTTCACTAGTTGAATTTGAATTGTATTCACATGCTAATTTGTCCTAATATTCCAACTTATTTTTAAATACATTGTTTTTCTTTTATTTTCTGGTATTTCAAAATAGTTTTGACCAAGTGTGATTGGTATCTCTTTTTAATGATCTGAAAAATTGGACGAACATTTTTGTTGACTGACCATTTAAAAACAAAAACAAATAAATTAGTAAACTAATAAAACATTATCTGAAATTAAATCCTCCTTTGCACTTTCCAATTTTTTTAAACGAGTCACACCATTCTTCGAAACTGTACTTTAATTGAGTTAATGACATCCTTGTAGTGTCCGGAGGAAAAGTGGCTCTTGCCACAATTTTCCCCAAATTGGCTAAAACATCTGCTCTCTCGTTGCCCGTGGTGCCTTGATGGCTTGGAATCCATGCCAAACGTATGTCTTTGTTTTGATTGGATAATTGAAAGTACATATCTCTGATTTTTAGGATTGTCGAGTCTGTGTTTGTGAGATAGCCATTATGGCGCTTTGTAAATCAGAAAAGATTATGACATTGCTGAGGTTTAGCTCTGCTATTTTTTCCAAAGCCACATAAATTGCATATATTTCGGCAGAGAAGAGTACAAAGAAATTTTGGAGTTGGTCACAAATGAGAAGTGATTGGGGGAGTAAACTCCGTACCCCACACTGGACGATGTTTTTGACCCATCTGTGAATATCATGTGATAATTTTTGAATAAAGTATTTATTTTTTCCAAGAAAAGTCTATTGCAGTTTGATTGTTTTTCTAGATCCAAATTTACAATTTTGATGTGAGAAATTTGATAGTTATATGAGAATAAGTGGCAAGGCAGTTTGTCTAGAGATAATGTATATGGTAGGAAAAATAAATATTTTTGGAATGCTTCGATTATTGGTGAGGTGTTTCTAGATCTCCAGAAACTAGGGTCTCTTGCCCAATCGGTGAAAAGTTCTAGGATACTTCTTTTTACGATTTCTTTGTAGGCCATTGCTTTGCCGACATATGATACCGATAAATTCATTCTACTCACTCGGAGAGGAAACTGTCCATGATCCAAAAGCAATATGTTGGTAGGAGTTGATTTCAGATATCCTAAAACGACTCTGAGAGCTTGGTATTGTAGTCTGTCAAATTTTTTTAATCGACTTATTGCACATCCCCCAAATAATATACATCCATTGTCTAAATAGGGCAGGACTGTGCCTTTGTGTATATTTAGGAGAGTAGAAGGGTAACTTCCCCACCATTTTCCGTATAGAAAACGCATTAGGTTAATTGCTTTGGCAGCCTTGTTTGTTATTGCATCGGTGTGAAGGTTCTATTTAAGGTGTTTATCTAGAACTGTTCCTAGATATCTGTGGTTAAGTTTCCACATAATGGGCATGTCATTGATGCGCATGAATGTGTTTGGATTTTGTTTTTGTCTCTTTTTGAATAGAACGGCTGAACATTTACTGGGTGAAAGAGACAGGCAAATATTAGATAAGGCAGGTTGATGGTTTGGTTTCTAGGATGGAATCTTGGGCACATATTAAGGCAAAGCCATCGACGAAGCTGGTTGTTTGGATGCTTTAAAAAAAGTTTTGAAAAACGTTGCATGAGATGTTGAACAATAATGGTCTTAAGGGCGATCTGGGGTACACCTCTGCAGGAGACTCCAGGGTCTAGGATTTTGTTCTCTTGTAGCGATTTTATGTATATGTTTCTATCGTTGAGAAGGGATAGGTTTAAGTCGCATATATCCTTGGGCAAGTTGAAAGAGTGTAATCCCCTTTAATGTCTAGGAACACTACGATAGGGTGAGGAAACAGGAGATTTTCGAGTACACAAAAACTACATTTTCTGTCACATCTCTTCCTTTCCTAAAGCCATTTTGGTGAGGGTTTAATTTTGAAGAATTTTCCAAGAACCAATCTAAACGATTTTTGGTCATTTTTTCCAGAAGCTTACAGATGCAGCTGGTTAGGGCTATGGGTCGCCAACTGGTTGCTTCACTGGGGTGAGCAGATTTTTTAAGGATAAGGATGATTTAAAAGTTTTTCCAGTAACTAGGAATTGGAGTATTGTTGCTAAGTATGTTGTTTAACAGTTTTAGTAAGAATAAAATTGCTTTTCTGAAAAGATTATACAGCATAGCATATGAGAAAGAATCTAACCCTGGAGAAGAGTTTTAGGTATGAAGGTAAGCTCATTTAATGAGTAGGGGCTATTCTTAAAATTGACAGTATAACTTAAACGTGAAAGAAGAATAGTTTGACCAAATAACAAGTTAGACTTTGATATGACAGTAATACTAGTAGTGAAGTTAGTCACTATAGATAATTTCTGGTTACTTTTAGTTAACTGTTAACTATTATTATTTTGAAATTTGATGGTGAATAGCAAAGCTTTCTATCACACTGTTAAGTATTATCAGTTTGATAGTTGTAGTTATCAGATTGTTAAGTCGAAAATGGTGAATACGGCCGTTAAGATATTAATAAAATTAAATTTATTGAATCATGTCAGTAGCGAAAATGCATAAAATGTTACTATTATAACAAAAAGTAATTAACCGAGACAGCACTCGACGTCCATTGGACGTCCATATTTTGTCACAATAATGTCCTGGTTGTCCATAAACTATATATAGATGTCCATTGGACATCCATTTTCCGTTACCCAAAAATGACAAACTTATAATAAATTATTATTTGTATTATTCTTGTAGTATTATTTAATTGTTTACAACTAGGTTTTAATTAAATTAAATCATTTTTCCTCTCCTCTTCGCTACTGTTGACAATATACAAAAGTAAAAGGCCATTCAGGCCAGACTCAAAGAAGAAAAGAAGAATCAAAGAAGAAAAGAAGATGAAAGAGGTTAAGAACAAGAATGGCTTACAGCCCACATGTAGCTCACAGATATAGAGTTTATCTGTTAGGAAAATAAGTATAAATAATACTAAATTCGAAAATTAAGAAGCAAATCGTTTGTTTTTAACAAATATAACACATCAATTATGTTAGAATCCCTTTCTTTTAGACCTGTTGTTGTTTAAAAAAATGGCTTTACTAAAAGCTAACTAATATGCTGCAAATTCAAGATGATGTCAACACAATTATTATTGTAACCAAGAGGTCAGAAACCTTCCAAAGCAGAAGAAAAAAATTCAAGTTTCTATTTATACTGCATAAGACGCTAGCAGAAGTAAAAGGCTATTTAAAAGATACAAATATTTTTAAAGAAACTGTAAGTTATTTCACTTTAATGTTCACAAATACATATTTTTATTGCAATTTTAGATTCAGCAGTTACCAACATCAGGGACAAGGTATAAAACGTATAAAAAGATATTTTGTTGCCACAATTTCTAATATCTTCACAAAAGAAGTCACATAATATGGTGACATGAAAGTAAAATGGTAATTTAAAGAAATAATGAGCAGTTTTTTGTTTATATGTAAGTATGTAAGTACATTAGTCAATACATATTTTCATATTAGTTAATAACATTTTATCTAAAAGTTCTACATTTTTAACTATCAGTTTGGCCCGATCAGGCGTTTATTAAAATATTGATTTAATACTCAATTTACATACAAAATGTAATGTTTTTTTTAGCTGCTGCTGAGAGTGACAATGGTGCTGCTTAAAAAGTAAGCGAAATAGCCTTAAGAAAATGACTGAGAAGGTCAACAGAAAGGAGTGCGTATAAAACCATTACATGCTTGATATTATTTATGACAATAAAAATATGTCCGTAATTGCAATTATTTTATTTTTTATGAATATAGGTGGTGATGTTCAGCAGATGGCAATAAATTGTCCAAAAGTAATACAAAAAGAGTCCATATATGAAACTTTCATGGAGTCCAAATGGACGTCTAGGAGTGGGACATTTGTATAGTCCAGTGGATGGTCATTGGATGTCCTTCGGTAAAATGCTGGACGTCCTTTGAATAGCCGATATGTCCATCAATGGACTTCCGATGGACATCCAATAGATTGACTTGTGCTGTCTGGGAAGGTATTTATTTAAAGAAATGAAGTGCAGTGCTTTTACTGTGAAATGAGGCTTCTTGTCTAAAATCAATAATATTAACAAATAAACAAGTGCGTGGTGTTACATATCGGCAAAAATAATCCACGTCTTGGTTACTCGCTCGGTAGCCATAATTTGGCGCAAGTGTCTTCGTATGTAGATTTAGGAGTTTTAGTGACGTCAGAACTAACATGGTCTAAACACATTTTAAAAACATGTAAACGTGCAAATTCGATGTTATATTTGCTTCAAAAGACTTTTGCAAAGGTATCCTTTCATACATACATCAAATTATTTAAGACTTATGTTCGACCTTTATTAGAATATGCAGGTGTAGTTTGGTGTCCGCTTCTTGTGCGAGACCAGAACCTTTTAGAAAATGTTCAACGCCGGGCTACCAGAATGACCTTTGGAGCAGTCCGACCATCATATGCAGAAAGACTACAATTGTCAAACTTGTCAACTTTTGCGAATCGTCGACTACGAGGGGACTTAATTCTTACTTTTAGAATACTTAAATTTAATTACGGAAATCTTAGTGACATTTTTTTGTTAAATACTGACTCTCGTCTACGTGGTCATGAACTAAAATTAAAAAAGGAAAACCTAAAAACGAAGCACAGACAATCATTCCAACCGGGTATTTAATGTATGGAACGACCTCAGCGACGAAGTTGTTGGTGCCATAACAGTTAACGTCTTTAAAAATAAGTTAGACGCGTGTTTGTTTAATTAACATTTTTATTCAATTTTTAGTGTTATTTTTGTTTCAGTGTGTTAACTTTGTTAGAATTTTTCTATTTTGTTTTTAGGCTATCATAGGACTTGTGTCCTCAGCCTTTATCAATGTATAATAATAATAATAATAATAATAATTAATACTAACCAACTTCGTTTAAATACGGCAAATTCATCGAAAAGCAAAGAAACATATGGCCGTATTTGGCGCCAATTTTCGGAAATTTGTATGATTCGTACGTAGGAAAATATGGTAGAGAATGAGTCATCCAATATCCTCCACGGCCATTAAATGCCACTACGCCTTTGGTATGTCCTTTTTTGGTGTTATTTGCCCCAGATGGAGGGGAATCGTTGTACAAGATATAACTAGTTGAATTCTGGAATCAAATAGAAAATAAAATAAATAGTATATTAAAAAATAAAATAATTCAAACTCAAATATGACCAAGATGTAAAATAAAATAAAAACATATATCTCGAAACCTCATGTCACATCGGAAAACTACTACAGTCTGTTCGCTATACTTACGCGGGTTTCGGATTAACAAAATTATGCAAATTAGTCATTGACAACTAGTTCCAATAAGCCTCTTCCCAAGAAATTAGGTAAAATTCCCCTAATGGTCAGATTTAAATTAAAATAACATTAGGATAGGTACTAAATTTGTTACAAATATTGCAGTTGAATTAATTCTTTGCAAGTGTTGACATTGTATGTATATTGTAAATTTAATGAAAATTTTAAAAATGCCTAGACGTGTGTTAGATGTAGATAGTCTAATTTGTAGTGTACATAAGTATTTTACGAATGAAAAAGAAAATGGCGGTCCTTTAAAATCGGTAATGTCTGTACAGCAACGCGTATGCGATGCTCTAGGAATTAGTGAAACCAGATTAAGAGGAGTATTACAAAATCACAATAGTGAACTGCCGAAAGAAGATCACCGCAAAACTCGCCCATCATTAAAAACGAAAGATATTCCAGATGGAAAGAAATTTGAAATTCGTAAATGAGGGCCAACAAGGAACATGTGACCTTAAATACAATTCTCTCGGAATTAATAGATAGAAAATTTGACGACATGGGCAGAACAAGTCTATGGCAAGTGATACATAACTTGGGTTTCAAATTTCAAAAGGAGGATAACAGAAAGGCCCTTTGTGAAAGAAGTTCTGTCGTGCACAAGAGAATTAACTTTCTAAGAAAATATTCTAAATTTAAAGAAGAAGGGGCGAATTTTATATATTTAGACGAAACATGGATATTTTCTAGGGGTGCAACCAAAAGAATATGGCAAGATGATAACGTAAAGTCCATCAAACATACCGATGAAGAAGGGAAGCGACACATAATTTTATATGCAGGAGGGAAATCTGGTTTTATAGAAGGTGCTGATTTAATATTTTCATCTAAATAAAAATCCAGTGACTATCACGATAATATGAACACAGAAATGTTTGTAAAATGGTTGCATGAATAACTTCTCCCAGGTTTAAATGAGTCCAGCGTAATTATTTTAGACAATGCACGTTACCATTCTGAAGTATTAAACAAAAGTTCAACGAATTCTTGGACTTTTGATAAAATTAAAGAATGGTTGACAAAGGAACATATACCATTTCCTCAATATATATTAAAATCAGAATTATTACGCTTGGCAAATATACACGCAAAACCAAAAACCTTTGTTGTGGATCAGATTATTGAAAGTTACGGTCATCAAGTTTTACGTCTGTCACCGTATCATTGTCAGTTTAATCCCATCGAATATATATGGGGAAGAGCAAAACAATTTTATGACAACCATATTGGGCCTAATGGTTATAGTGACGACGCAGTTCGGGAAACTTGGCAAAAAGCACTTTCAATTGCAACTCCAGAAGTGTGGCGGAACTGTATATCCAAGTGAGAGAAACTAATAGAAGATTGGTGGACTCGTGAAAATAAAATAAACGAAATAAGTCCAATCATAATAACAATTAATGGTGATGATAGTGATGATATTTTGGATGATAATGACTGATTTTCATTTTTGTTGGCAAGTTCCATTTTTTTACTTTTCATTTGAAATTATAATAATAATAATAATAATAATACTCTTCCTAATTCGCCCCCTTACGAGTGAATTTTAACCCCAAAAGCTGAGCTTGTGCGGGGAAAGGGACGGCTATTATTATTATTTGCCGTGGCGCTCCGGGGCGACTTAAAGATGATTGATGGTGCCATTTGACTTACAGGTGAGGAAAACCCAGAAAACCTCACCCACCAATTCTCTACATGGAACAAATTTTTATGTTAGAAAATATTTTATTTGAGCTAAATAACCCTCTTATTATACATAGATCATATTTTATGTGTAAAGTGTAATATAAAATTATTATTAGGTTCATAATAGCCACATTAGACTCCATTAATGAAGAAGTTTAATTCTGCTCTCAATTATACAAAAGATTCTCCATTATTATTTAATTAAAAAGTTGTACATTATTTTTCATTTCATTTAACCAGTTGATATTTCCCCAAAAAACAGGTCAAACTTTCGGGTACTTAACTGGAAATACTCATAAAATTTTTTGTCTGAAACCCACGTAAGTATAGCGAACACTGTACTCATTTATTTGGCAAGTTAATACTAAGAAATAATGTTGTTACTCAAAACTAAAGATTCGTATACTTGTTCTGTTTTTCAATTTACACTGGGATAACTGTATTTTTGGGCCAAAAATCGCAGAAGTTTTCGGAAATATAAATAATTTGTTCAAGAAATACCTCATAATTAAAAGTTATTTATGTTTTGGGTATATTGGACGTGTATGTTTTATTTTTTATTGCGGAAATGGCATGAGTTACACTTACCCCTTGAAATTCACAAACGGGAAAGTGGAACCTGTGTTATAAATGTCTGAGAATATCACTAAATTTTGCCAAAATTGCTTGATAAAATATACTTGTTTAAATTTGAAATATCTGAGAAAGTTTTATTTATTTTTATTGGAAAATAAGGTTCCACTAACCCCATATATAGGTTCCACTTACCCATACATGTAGGGCAAGTGGGAGACCTACCATCTGTGATTGGTTGTTTTAATAAGTGTTTATTTCTTTGTTTCAGAAATGGTTTGAATTTACGTTCGAAAGAAGCCGCCACCTAAATATTCTAAGAAGGCGCTAGATAGAGCCATAAATGCATAAGAAATCAACACATGACGTCGTATTGAGTATCAAAACTGTTTGAGATCCCAAAATCAACACTTTTTAAACATGTGAAGGGTCAAAGGGGTGTCAAAAGTAGAACCTATTCCGTATGAGGAAGAAAAGAAAATAGCTATCAAAGTTATGAAAAAATGGGGATTTGGGCTTTCCAAAAGTGTTGTCACTTATAGGCCGATACGTAAAAAAAATAACATTCAGACTACATTCAAAGACGGCATTACGGCTTACGACTACTTCATAAGATTTAAAAAAACTTTTAACCGCAAATAGTGGAAGTAGCAAGAAAAAGAAGTATACTTCACCCTGCTAAAATCTGTCATACAAGGTGTTCCCCCACCATCAATTTATAAAAGTTTTTGCCTGGATCCAATCAGAATTAAAGTTGTTGGCTAAAAAGGTACAGCTGCTTATAGGGCAACAGGTGGATCAGGAAAAGAAAATATTACCGTGTTAATGGGTGGGAATGCTGAAGAGGAAAAATTGCCTCCACATATTGTATTCAAAGGGAATAATGTATGGGATACATGGCTTGCAAAAAATGACGAGGAATATCCAGGCCTAGCTCTGCTACAAAAAAATGGGTAGATGGAAGCAGAAACCTTCAAAAATTATTATAAAAACAACTTTCTTATAAATATCCCAGACGAAAGACCAGTTAGTCTCATATTTGATGGGCATAGTTCCCATGTTGCACTTTCAATGATCGAAAAGGCAAAGGCAGAAGACATTGTCATTCTAAAACTTCCTCCCCACTCAAGCCATATACTCCAGCCGATAAACCTCAGTATTTTCCGGCCCCTAAAAATAAAATGGGACAAAATTCTTGTAAAATGGCAACGGAAGAACTACGGCTCTAAACTTCCAAAAACGGTGTTTGCAGCTATTATATCTAAAATTTGGAAAAATGTAGATTCTACGTTGATTGAACATGGATTTAAGAAAGCAGGAATCTATCCGTTTTGCAACATTGTTGTATCTATTGAGAGCTACGAGTCACAAGCTTACAAACGCTGGTGCAAAACTAAGGGTACGTACACAAAGAAAGCAGGTTAATCAGCAACCATTTCCGGAGCCGAAAACCAGCGCTTACAAGTCATCTTAGTAGTACACAATGAACGCCAGTTTTCGGCCAGTTTAAAATCAACGTTCATGCAAAGATTTTTGATTCACCTTACGACAAAGACTTTTTATTGATAGAAAATACATTTCTAAGGATGCAACGCACGAAGCAAGGTACACATCCAGTAAATCGCTAATGAAAAATGTATGTTGAACATCACCATCTTGGAAAAAATTAAAATGTGGTTAACCGAAACGTGGTATAATTGGTACAGGCAGTCAATCCTTCCAGAAGAAAGGTTACTATTACATGAATAAAATATTATGGTTATTACAATATTGTATTAAACATAAGTAAAACATCGCACTCTATCCCTGTTGCTGTGGGACTTAAGTCGTTTGTCCCATAATGAGTTTCTTTGAAAAATTAATGATCCGATATCCATACTCGGTGCGAGGAAATGCACGTCTAAGGGTACAAACACAGTAGAAGCAGATTTCCGCTTACCGGCAATCAGCGCCCATCTGCGCTGTTGTCTCGGTACTGAATGGTACAGAGTGAATACCTGTAAAAGCGAGAAAAATCGTTCTGAGTTGTGTCTACAACTTCTAGCAAATTGTCTTTTTGTGATTACGATCTGATTGCTTTGAATTCTGTTTTGACTAAACTGAAGAGAAAGAGAATTGGTATACAATCTGTAATATTATTGTCAGTTATATTTTGTTGTTGATTACTTTTAAGGAATCTAGCATCATTAGCAAGATGATTTTGGGACGTCGTTGATTGTTGGCTTAAGGAAACGGAAGAGTAGGTATTCGGATAACCAGGAGAAAGTGCACTAGAATGGGATGATGTAGAAGATAATGGACGAGGATAAGTGTTAAGTTGGCTTAAGGAAACGGATGTCTGATCATTTTGATCTATGTTGTGATAACCAGGTGAAGGGGCACTAAAATGAGATGATGTAGAAGATAATGGACAAGAACAAGTGTAAAGTTAATAGAAATATGGTTTCACTCAATTCCTGTACGCGACAACGAACAGATAGTATTCTGTTTTCAGGTATAAAAAAAAGAAAAGTGCTTTCTTATCCATGGTACAACCACTAAACCAGCGCGTACCAAAAGCAGAAATAAACTAAATTGTCATTCCGGCAAAAGCGAGAACGCAGGTTAGCGCTGGTTACTGGCGCCGACCTGCTTTTACTGTATACTTGCCAATTTAAAAACATGCATTCATTTTGAAAGCTTATAAGCGTAGCTCGGCGCTGATTGCCAGTAAGCGGAAATCTGCTTCCACTGTGTTTGTACACTAAAGCAGGTGAAGATACACGCTGTAGAATAAAATCCGAACGTTTAATATTTAGTAGTATTGTATTGTATTATATTGCATTATAAACTTACCTTTGCTAAATCAGACAAAGTATTGGCAAGAATTGAATTCGTGCTGTTTATTGGAATGGTCGAAGACTTCCAGTATTTATTTTTAGATGTCATATATACGTATCCAAGACCATTGCTTATCAACTCGTCCGTATGATCGATTTGTGGAATCTTGTATACCAGAAACCTGGAATTATGGAATTATATAAGTGATAGAAGAGGTACTTACATACAAATCATTTATGAAGATAATCCAGCAATAAAATTAAAGGTAAAGATAAACCTACTAGATATAAATTTAAATCGACACTTACAAGTATACTTAAAAAAAATGGCCGACTTCCGGAAATGCCAGTAAGTTTTTTTTTCTATATATTGTTACGTGTCTAAATTCATTTTAATTTATCAAATAAAAAGTCACTATTTTATCGTTAATTTTAATAATCAGAAGGATACAATATATTATATTTTATTTTATTGTGTACTAAGGTCCTACCATTCTTCATCTGCAACAACTTCTGAAATAAATAACAAATATTATTTTAATATAATATTTGATTTTAAATATAATTATTTAGCATTTAGTAAATTGTAAACAATGCTAAGATGATATCTTTCATCGTCATTTCTTCTTTTCTGATTATATTAGCCTTAGTTAGGCTCTATGACTATTCCAGTAGCCAAAATATCTAGTTAGAAGCCTTTCATGTAAAGGATTGACAGTTGATTATACCAAATATTTCCGTTTTCCCGCGTATTTAGAAAGAAAACTTGCGTGCTGCACGTGGGTGCATATTCGTTTTGCGGATTTTAAACAAGTTTCTTAGGAAAATAATAGATTAGTAAATTGTTTGGGTTTTCAATGAAAATACTTTGTGGATTCTTTGTTAATCAAAGAAATCATAGAAAGTACTAAAATACTCATTGAGACCCTATTAGACCTGTCGTGAGTAACTAACACATATAATTAAGTCATAGACTAAGCTTTACTAAAATATCTACCTTTTTTGCTTTTAAGTTTTCTCTTATCTTCTTATCTTCGTTACTCTATCATTTCCTACTTTACTGTACTCTACTTTCTCTTCACTTCTCTATATTATTAGCTGTACCTCTCTTGCTACCTGCCTGTCTTAGGGATATATTGATAGCATAATTACATGGTTTCATAGTCAATTGCTGTGCCTGCAGTGGAAAGAAGTACCCAATCTCCGATAGAATATACCCACAGTGGCTGTAACCAGATGAAGACTTGGTAGTGGTAAACTACACAAAGGATAATCAAATAAGACCTTTCCTATTTTTTCTAATTATTCATCCAGAAGCAAAATTAATAGTAGATATACGATACAAGATACATAACATCTAATAATTACTTGAATTTATAATATAATATATGTATACTTACCTGGTGTAGGAGTCAACCATATCACTAAGGCGGTTCCCCCAGGATGAGGCGTTTGGGCTGAACGCCGTCCCGACTAATAAAAATTACCTGCCCGAGTTATCCGCATTAGAGATAATCGCATTGTTCAGCCCAACTGTAGTGCAATGGTAATGCCTCATCCTGGGGGAACCGCCTTAGCTCATGGTAAGTATCAATATATTATATTATAAATTTAAGTAATTATTAGATTTTATGTATCTTGTATCGTATATCCTCTATTAATTTTGCGTCTAGATGAATAATGGAAAAAAATAGAAAAGGTCTTACTTGGTTATCCTTTGTATACTTTACAACAACAAAGTCTTCATCTGGTTACATGTTCTATCGGAACTTGGGTACTTCTCATTACTACTGGTACAGCAATTCACCTTGCAATTATGCTATCAGTATGTCCATAAGGCAGGCAGGTAGCAAGAGAGGTACCAACTAATAATATAAAAAAGTGAAGAGAGAGTAGAATAAATTGCAGGTAAGTAAGTAAGAATAGAGTATAGAATATGAGAAGATAAGAAAAGGCCTAAAATCAATAAAAAGGTAGATATTTTAGTAAAGCTTAATCTATGACTTAATTAGATGTGTAAGTTACTCAGCACATGTCTAATACTGCCTCAATGTGTATTTTAATAAATCCTCTAATTTCTTTGATTAGCAACGAATCCATAGTATGATTAGCGTTTTCCTTGAAAACTCAAACAATTTGCTAATTTATTATTTTCCCAGGAAACTTATTTAAAATCCGCAAAACGAATATATACCCACGACAGCATGCAAATTTTCTGTCCAAAAACGCGGGAAAACGGAAATCGAAAAAGAAGAAATTATATTTAACATAACCGACTGTCAACCCTTTACCTGAAAGGCTTCTAACCAGATATTTTGACTACTAGAATTATTGTTATAGAGTCTAACTAAGGCTAATAATATTAAAAAAGAAGAAATGACAAAAGATATTTTATTTATTGAATGCTAAATAATTATATTTAAAATGAAATATTATATTAAAATAATATTTGTTATTTATTTCAGAAGCTACTGCAGATGAAGAATGGTAGGACCCTAGTACAGAATAAAATAAATTATAGTATATTGAATCCTTTTGATTATTAAAATTAATGATAAAATAGTGACTTTTTATTTGTTAAATTCAAATGAATTTACACACATAACAACACCTCCCTTTCGTGGAAAGGCTTTGTTTAACAAAGACTTTGAATTTAAGTAAAATAATTACTGGCTATGCACATATAAAGTTTTAAACTTAAGGTTACTCTATGTTTATACGAATTAATTTGATTGGTCTTCATCAGGATGACTCTTTAGATCTTTTGCATGCCAAGCGCCTTTAATTTTCCTATCTTGGCCTACTAATTTGAAAAACCAAGGTTATAAAATTTTATGAATATAAAAAGGACCATCGAACTGCAATGCAAATTTTGAAGTTATACCGTGAGCCTTATCAGACAGAGTATAGTTTCATTTCTAGACCTTTTAGTTTATGACGATTTGTTTTATACGCCTTTTTAAGACGGCGAGATACCTCAATAAAAACTTCTTGAAATTTTTGTGCATGTATAAGAAAGAAGGTAAAATTCTGTATATTTATCTAACGCGTTGGTAGGCGGTTGAGGTTCATTGGCAGAAGGGAAATGTCTCTTTCTAACATTAAAAACTTTGGGGTTACACGAGTGACTTTATAACACGTAGTTTGAATTACACAACCAAAGGCTTGTAGATACGTATTCCACTGTCGTTGATTACTGGAAATGTAGCCAAATAAAATGGTCTTAATTACCCAGTGAGAGCGCTCTAATGGATTAGCTTAAGCGTGATAATTTGAAATGTGGGCTGATTCGGTGCAATATTTTGTGAAGACAGCGGCTAACTCCTTACTTTGAAATTGGCTCCCATTATCCATGATAATTGGGTCTGGAGTTCCAGGAAGTTACACGATAAGAGCAAAAAGAAATATATATTTACTAAAAATATCAGAAACAGACAAGATGAATGTGCAACCAGAAGTGGAGCGGGGAAGAGGGCCAATTAGGTCCATACTTACGGATTTTTCAAGTACTGTCAACAGTAGGAGTCTTGCTAATGACAATTCTGCGAGGTGGTTTCGTTTTAGTCTTGGTTTAAATACAAATTTGGCATTTACGAGTATATCTATTTATATCATCACATATTTTTGGCCAGTAATATTTAGCACAAATACGAGCAGCTGTTTTAGCAAAACCCATATGATCAGCGATTGTGTGCGAATATATCGACTCGTTCATATTTCGGCACAACTAACAGCCAACAATCGTTAGTATCCTAAGGATCGGGATAGGCTAATTTTGTCCTTTTTGATTTTCCATAACGGAAACTGATCTGACTGATCTGGCACTCTCTTCAACATATTCTGATACCATTATTCAGACGTCCGGAGACTGCTTCAACTCCACCGCTTCCACACACGGAATCGACCGGGACAAGGCATCTGAAACTACGTGTTCCTTTCCTTTGCGATGAAGGATTTTAAAATTATATTGTTGGGGCCTGAGCAATTTTGTCTATAGGATCTTTAATATTATTTAACTATTTAAGGCTGTAATGGTCTGTAATTACTTTAAACTTTGATCCCTCATTAAATAGACGAAACTTTTCAATCGCGTACAAAACCGCCAAACACTTCTTTTCAGTGGTACTGTACTTCCGTTCAAAACTAGAGAAATATCTGCTCAAGTAGCAAATAACCTTTTTACCCTTATGTCCGATCTGTGAAAGTATCGCATCAATGCTAAAACCAGAAGCATCTGTCTGTAATATGAAGGGTAGATCAAAATTTGGACTAGTAAGAATGGGAACCGAAATAAAATGATCTTTGAGAGCCTGAAAAGCCTTTTCAAATTAAGAATCCCGAATAAATTTCTGATTTTTACAAAGCAAGTTATATAAGGATACTGTAAGAGTGGAGAAATCTGGTACGAATCTCCTGTACCAGGGAGATATACCTATTAGCCTACGAACATCTCCGACACACTTGGGGGTAGGAATCTGGATAATTACTTTCACCTTTGCAGGATCTACCATAAGCCTCGCAGCTCCAACTACGTTGCCCAAGTAGCGCAATTCGGACTTACACGTTAAACCGGTTTTAGTGAGACTAGTTAACACCTCTTGCAAAATTTCGATGTGCATTTCATAAGTTGGCGTCAAGATATACAAACACATTGCTCAAGGTCTACTCCTACTACACGGTCTATATAGCGCTTCCAGATCGCTGGAGTATTGTGGCGAACGACTATATATCCAAAGGACAGCCAAATTCCCCGATTTCTTTCCGAAGTTGTTACGTTACCGTCAATATACTTTCAAAAGTAGGTCATTTGAAATGTACAAAGATATCATTGTCTTTTTTGAAATTAGACTCTTGTAACTTTTTTTTTGTTTGAAAAATAAACTTTTCTCTGTATATATATGTATATTATATTTGTTCTCTTATTTTATTATAAGAATAAGTCCAAATTTATAAACAGAGAGTGACCCAAAAAATTTTGTACAAACGAGTAGAAGTTTTATCTTATATTTTACAAAAAAAAAATTATTCTTGATAAAAAGTTTTGCATCACATGGAAATCCATAATCGAGCATTAAATTTTTTAAAATATAAAATAAAAAAGATAATTTATATTGATGAGTAAAATACATTATTTAAACTTCCATATATAGAGCAAAATATTAGATAAAATGTTGATAGGAAT